CCTGTTAAAGCGGCTTTACTCTGAGCAAACAGCGACAGTGCAAACAGACTCAACCAGCCGCCAGTTCCATCTACTGAGAGGCACAAAACAGGGTGACCCGCTCAGCTCGCTGCTCTTCAATTCGCTCCTGGAGTACATCATGAGACCCCTCGTCGCCAAATGGCAGCAACGCGCCCAAGGAGTCAAACTGGGATTGTCACCACAAAGTTGTCTCACGAACCTTCACTTCGCTGACGAAGTTCTCCTTGTAAGTCGGACGCTCCCTCGCCTCACCACGATGCTCAAGGACATGGCCGCAGCAGCACAAACGCATGGACTTCACATACATCCCGACAAAACGAAGATCCTATCCAACTTGTCACAACGCACGGGGAGAGCACGTCAACACAGCGCTGTAATCGACGACCTCGAAATCGAGATCTTACCACACTCTGGTTCAGTGAAGTATTTGGGTCAGCGCATCAGCTTCGACGACACAATCGCCGCAGGGTGAGCAACTTTCACAAGTCAGAGACAAGAACGGAACGGAACGGAACGGAAGTCTGCGTGCCAGCTCCGGTAAGCTGAGCGGTCTCCTAGAGGGCAGACCGTGCGCTGAGCATGTCGGAAAATGAATGTCGGCAACGAGCACACGCAGGAAAATGCGATTAATAATTCCTCTGGTGTGCAGGTGTTCAGTCAGAGAACCTTCGCTGGCTAAGAAGAGCGAGAGGAGGAAAACAAGAGCTCACAGGAAAACATTATCCGCTGAAGCAACGACTCCGTCTTTTTGACGGCACGGTAACACCGACAATCCTCTACGGAGCAGGCACTTAGACGACGACCGAGCCTTTGCGACAGCAGCTACAACGCACGCAACGGCGTATGATGCGCATGGTCATCGGCACACCTCGACGACGAAACACCGACGTCAGACCAACACACGGGGCGACTGGCACGCAAGAGCCACTTTCGACACCAATTATGGCGTCTGACGCGCTCAGCACCGACGGAGAAGATGTGGACAGCAACCCACCGACCGCCCACTTGAGCAACGAAACCAGCGACGCTGATCACGACAATACCGACGACAAGCAGGACAACCAACCAGGTGACGACGGTCTGGGGCCATGGGTTGAATACATCAAGCGAACGACTCGACAAGCGGAGGCCCTCATGAACAAACATGAACTCCACGACTGGGCATCAATGCAAACAAAGATGGTATGGCGATGCGCAGCCCGCGTTGCGCAGCAACTACCACATGAATGGCCACAACGTGTTCTTCATTGGCACCCGAGCCTTCAGGCTTCCCAGACAAGACCGCGTCATCATGGAAGACAGTGGAAGAGATGGGACGATGAGATCCGCGTTTTCCTACGCCAGCGTCAAGACGACGCAGACAACCGACGCCAGACACCGCGCAGGCACCACGACCTAAACGACACCACGTGGCTCCAACCGGCTACGACACAGGAATGGGAGCAGTGGTTGGAACGCGATTTTGTGAAGTACGGTACGCGTGCTCCTGAGTAGGAGGCCAGCGTCCATTTCTCGGCATTCCAACTTGCAGCCTCAAAGAATTCTGACTCCCCACCTCCAACTCCATTTATCGACCTCCCAGCCTTCGCCAGCTCCGCACTCCGACTTCCAATCTCTAGCATCCGACCCTCCACTTCCACCCCCACCTACCGACCTCAAGCGCCCACCAGCTCAGCATTCCGACCTCCAGCTTCTAGCATCCGGCTCTCCGTTTCCACCTCCACCTACCGACCTCCAGCGCCCACTATCTCAGCATTCCGACCTCCAGCTTTTAGCATGCGACTCTCCGTCTCCACCTCCACTTATCGACCTCCATCGCCCACTATCTCAGCATTGCGACCTCAATCTTTTAGCATCCGAATCTCCACTTCCAGCTCCACCTATCGACCTCCAGAGCCCACCAGCTCATGATTCCGACGCTAACATCTAGCATTCACATCCCCACTTCCCCACCTCTCCACTTCCAGCTCCACCTATTGACCTCCAGCGTCCACCAGCTCAGCACTCCGACTTCCAATCTCCAGCATCCGACTCCCCACCTCCATTTACCGACATCCAGCGCCCACTATCTCAGCATGCCGACCTCCAGCCTGTAGCATCCGACTCTCCATATCCAGATCCACCTATCGACCTCCAGAGCCCACCAGCTCAGCAGTACAACCCCCAACCTCTAGCATCCACCTCTCCACTTCCAGCTCCACCTGTGGACCTCCAGCGCCCACCAGCTCAGCACTCCGACTTCCAATCTCCAGCATCCGACTCTACACTCCCACATCCGCCTACCGACCTCCAGCGTCCATCAGCTCAGCATTCCGTCCGCCGGCTTTCAGCATCCCACTCTCCATTTCCAACTCCACTTACCGACCCCCGGCGCCCACCAGCTCAGCATTCCGACCTCCAGCTGTTAGCATCTGGCTCTCCCTTTCCACCTCCACCTACCGACCTCCAGCGCCCACTATCTCAGCATTGCGACCTCCAGCTTTTAGCATGCGACTCTCCGTCTCCAGCTCCACTTATCGACCTCCAGTCCACCAGCTCATCATTCCGACGCTAACCTCTAGCGTCCACCTCTCCACTTCCAGCTCCACCTATCGACCTCCAGCGTCCACCAGCTCAGCACTCCGACTTCCAATCTCCAGCATCCGACTCTACACCTCCGCATACACCTACTGACTTCCGACGTCCATAAGCTCAACAGTACGACCTTCAACCTCTAGCGTACACCTCTCCACTTCCAGCTCCACCTATCGACCTCCAGCGTCCACCAGCTCAGCACTCCGACCACCAACTTCGCGCATCCGACTTTCCACTCCCACCTCCATCAATCGACCTCCAGCGTTCATTAACTCAACACTACGACCTCCGTTCTCTAGCATCCAACTGTCCACTGCCAACTCTGTCTATCGACTTCGGCGTCCATCAACTCAGCATTTCAACCTCACCTCCAGCATCCGACTCTCGACTTCCACCTCCACCAATCAACCACTACCCTCCACCAGCACAACATTCAGACCTCCAACCTCTCACATTTGACTTCCCACTTCCACCACCAATCGACCTCTAGCTGATCTCTTGGGTGTGTCACAGAGCGCGTATGGGCCTTCGATTGCACGTGGTGATCTGTTTCTTGAGTGGTACCTGAAGGATGTGACACAGAGTTCATGAGAACACCAGTGCTCCCACACCCATGTGCAGTGGATTGGAGGTCCGAGGAGTTCAACTCGAACGTGTTTTGCTATGAGTTCGAGATCACAGACAGGACGATGAAACCCACGGGTTTCTCCGACAGTCTCACACCACAAGCACTACGACTTCAACGAGACGACGTGGCTACATCATGAGAAAACGGATGAGTGGGGACTGTCGGGAAATCAGCTCCTGAAGTAGGCATTGTCCTGAGTAGACCCCGACGCACGCAGCTTCTCATGCGAGGCCATGGCCTCACCCGCCTCGCCCTTAGGGGGCCCCGGCGCATGCCCGCACAGGCGTTCCATTCCGTTCCGTTCCGTTCCGCATGCATATGCACAAACACATACATGCACATAAACATACACATACACATACACGTTTACGTATACGCACACGTACACACGTACATATAGTGATACACATGCAGATGCATATACACATAAACATGCACGTGCACATCTACATACACATACATCTACAGATATGGCTACATGTAAATAGACATAGACCCAGACACGGTCATTGACCTAGACATAGACATGGGCATAGTAATCGACATACACCTGTGCATGTACATATACAGACACATACACATATATGTACAAATGTATGTATACATGCATAACAGCATGCATACATACATACATACATGCATGCATACATACATACATGCATACCTACATACAGGCATACACACATACATACATACATACATACATACATACATACATACATACATACATACGTACGTACGTACGTACATACATACATCTGCCTAAACACATGCATGAACACGTATGGATGCATATACAGATCCATGTATACTTGCATACACGTATAGATATGTATGTACACATATATGTATACACATACCGATGTATGTGTATCAACGTATCCGAATACATACACAAATGCATATACTATCATGTGCGTATACACATACACGTGCGCATACGTGTTTAGACACATGCAAATTCAAAACACATATCTGCAAACGTACTATACATGCATACATACATACACACATACATACATGCATGCATACGTATATGCATACGATTGCCGATGTATCTGGCGAAACATACGCGTTTACACATATGATTGTCCATGCATTCGCATGCACATACTCATATACATGGCATACATACGTACACAGAACATAAACATATGCATCAGCAAATACCTACACTAATAATTTCACGTAATCAAATAAATCTACATATACGTATACACAAATACATATGTGCATGCCCACAGTCATGTACATAAAGAGATGTGCGCCCAATCCTCTATCTCTCTCTCTCTCTCTCGTCCTCTCTCTCTCTCTCTCTTTCTCTCCCCCCACTACATCGATATATACATAGATTCACGTGTATGCATGTATATATATATATATGTGTAGATGTTAGTATGCAAAGGAACTGGTGGTCCTGCCCATCCTCCTTATACTCCTCATCATAATAGGCATAAGAACGCTCTCAAGCGTATACTAACACAACGACGTATGCCGAGCTTATGTAGGGAGAGCACAAAGGACGTACGCGCCCGACCACATACATGATCACGGCCCCCCGATCCACAAGACCGGCCGCGTGATACGAACGTTCGCGCAATGCGTACCCTCGAAACCAACGTAGATTCATGTACGTGCACGTCCCTCTCTAGCTCCTGACTACGAGGACAAAGCAGCAAAGCACAAATAGCCGCAAAAAAACAAGAAAATTGCGGCAGCTGATCCCCCCTGACCCCGCTGTGCGCTCCTCCAACCACCGTTCCATGCATGCCCAGTGCCGCGCAATTCGGATGTGGAAACAAACTCTGGATGCTCTAATCCGACCCCCCCCGCCTGCACCGCGCTCTGCGCCCGAGGAGCCGTAGGAGAGGGCACAAAGGGCAGGAGAAGCAGGAGAAGCAGGAGCAGGAACAGGACGAGGGCGGCACAGGGGGGCGAAGCGAGGGAATTGCAGGACGACGCACACCAGGGAGCATGCCGAGGCCCGCCCCCTGCGCCGCCGCGGCTGCGACCTCACCGCCCCGGCAGCACCAGCAGTGGCGCGGCCGGCTGCGTCCACCAGAAGACGCTGGCCTGCAGCTCATTCTGGTCGAGGCGGTCGAACGCAAGGGAGGCTCCCAGCGCTGGGGCCACTGCCAGTGCCGCGCCCTTCGCCGCCAGCTCCGCCTGCGCCGCCCGCACCGCGCGAAGCAGGTTGTCCGCGGCCGCGGGGCCCACCGCCCTCAGCACCACAGGGCCGGCGCCGCCCGCGCGCAGGCGCCGAGCCAGGGCCCCCGCGACCTCGCCGGGGTCGCTGCGGCGGGCGACGGGCAACGGCGGCGAGCCCGCGGGCGCCGCGGGGGCCCCCGGCAGCCTGCCGACGGACGCCAGCAGCACGACGCCGCCGCCGGTGTCCCCGAAGGCCCCCAGGCGCAGCGCCAGGCGCCCGAAGCCCGGCAAAAAGCCGGAGGCCCTGCGAAGCTCGTGCTCGGCCGCCGCGCACACGCGCAGCGCCGACAGCGCCGCCGCGGCGCCCTCCGCGCGCAGGGCCACCTCCGGGCGTACACGCAGGGCGGCCACGAGCTGCTCGCACGCGGCGTAGATCTTGCTGCTCCTGGGGGCGCCAAGAGGTACCGACACCACTGCTCCGACGACGACGACGACGACGACGACGACGACGACGACGGCGACGACGACGGCGACAACGACGGCGACAACGACGGCGACAACGATGGCGACGGCGACGAAGAAGACGGCGAAGGCGACGGCGGCGGCGGCGGCGGCGACGAGAAGAGGACGAGGAAAAATAATGTGCCTTGTCCCTCCCCTGGGGGGACAGAGCTACTGATACCGATGCTCCCTGGACCTGACTGGTCAGGACTTCGAGGCGAGTCCAGCCGTGGCGACGAGGGCCCTCCAGGAGACTCAAGAACGCGAAAACGAGGCCAGGGTAGCTGTATGGTATTTTTTTTCCCCCCGAGGTCCGGCCCCCCGGCATGCCCCGGACCATGACGGCGGCAGCACCCGCCGCCATGGCGCCCAGCCTGGCGGTCGCGCCGCGCGTCTGGCGCCGCGCGCGCCGCGCGCTGGAGCCCAACACGGCCACGAGCGGCCAGAGAGTGGGAAGGCAGGAGAAAGGGAAGATCGGGGCCTAGACCTGCTCTCGCCGTGGAAAGATCACGATGAGCGGCTGTTGGCCAGTTTCGGCCTCACGGGGCCTTCGACGGGTACCATACAGCAGCATTTGACGAAACATACCGCCATCTTGGTGAAGCAACGCGATGGGTATCGATGTTCAGTGCCTGCTTTATCCTCGGCGGGGACTTCAACACGCAAGTGCATCGAGGGGCGCGTCCAGACAAACAATTACATTTGCAGGCCATTTCAATCTGCATATTGCCAACGAAGAAGAGGAAAGCAGCCAAGACGACGGATACACATTTGAGAGCAGCATCGGCATTAGAAGACAATTTGATTTTATCATTGTCGGTCCTGGGTGGCGAATCTTGGAAGCAGCTGCAACGAATGATTTGGATTAGGTTCTGACCACAGAGCGGTGAGAGCAGTTCTTGTCCAAAACGGGCGCTGTGGAAGACAGGGCCAGACCCGGGAGAGGAAGCCCAAACAGCAAATTTTCAAACCGACACCGCGAATCCGATCGCTGATGGCTGAGGCGCTGGCCCGCGAGTGCCCCGGGACCGCGGATCAGATCGAAAAGATTACCGTGACAGCTGCTGCACGCTGCGAGGCTGTTTCTCCAGCTCTGGGACGCATCAGAAGCAGCGCATTGTTGACCCAGCTCCGGCGCGAACGAAAATCACGCAGAGACAAGGCGAGACGAAGCCAACTCTCCGAGGAGATCCAGAAAGAAGCTCGAAAATTGACTTTTTGATCCGCGGGTCGAGAGCGAGCCTCTTCCAGTCGAAGCTAAGCGGGCCGCGCACAGCTTTAATTAACACAAAAAGGCACGAACAGAAGAGATTCTAAAGTGTTTCCGCAGTGTCTTGGAGCTGGAGTCGCTACATCGATGCCCTATTGAACGGCAGGCGCCAGCGAGCAAACCGCCGGGAGCCATGACAGATTTCATGGAGGATTTGTTCAACAGCGACGCGGACTGTCCTGAATTCTCTAAGGAACTCATTGGCACGATCCCTGAAATCAGTCCAGGAAGGCTGCAACTTGCCGTCCAAAAGATGGCTAGAGGAAGATGTAAGGACAAAGCCAGGATTTCGATAGATATGATTGCGGGTGAAGGCCCAGGGTTGCTGCAATACTTGACCAACGTCTTCAACAACATTCTACGAGACGGTCGAATACCAGACGACTGGCACGTCACGTTCTTCACGCTGCTCCCGAAAGCGGGAAAATTAACAAATCCAACAAACGAATACCCGATTGCCATCTTACGCGTGCTGCACAAACTGTTTGCGAAAGTCTTGCACGGCACGTTGAGGCAAAGTTTACAAGAGTAGCAATCCGACGACCAAATGGGTTTCATGCCAGACAGGGGCATGGAGGACGCACTGTTCATCTTGGAGACTGCAATTGCGAGGTCGATCGAATTCAACATGCTGTTTCTCGCGATCTCGGACCTAAAAAGGGCGTTCGACATAATCAAATGGCCACAGCTATTCGAAGCACTTGAAGTACAAGGTGTGTCTCGGCCATATCTTGCGCTCTTGGCAGAGATCTACGGCGGACAGAAGGGCATGCTGCAAACCAACGACTCTTCGACATCTGGCGGGGGGTTCGACAAGCTTTCAATGCTGCGTTAGAGCTTGTCTTGAGAAGATGGTCAAATCGTTTGAACACCCACGGCATTAAGATCGAGCCTGGTGTTTCTGGTCACCGTTTGACTCACGTCAGGTTCGCCGATGACCTCATCACATACGCCACGAGCCTGAACGAATAGACGTTGATGCTAGACTTTCTCGCCGAAGAGCTACACCAGGTCGGCTTAGAGCTGAATGCAAAGAAGAGCAAAATCTCCACTTTGGATGGCAATTTCGTTCAAAGTGGCAGCCCATGGATTGTGGATGCAGCAGGCGGTCTCATTGAGGTCTCGAGAGAAGGGGAATTCCACGTTTATCTCGGTAACAAATATCCCGGCGACCTGAAGAACAGGGGAAAGACTATTCTGGCAAACCGGCTGCGGTGCGCATGGGCGAAATACCACAAGTTTCGCTCTGCCCTGACCAACCGGCACGTGGATCTTCTTCTCAGATTTCGCCTCTTTGACACTATCGTCACGCCTACTGTGCTATATGGCCTCTCCACAGTTCCTTTGACTTCTGCCGACTTTGAGAAGCTCGCTTCAACGCAGAGGCACATGATGAGATTTATGGCTGGCTTCATTAAGCACGACGACGATGAATGGTCCACCGTGCACAGGAGCGTCCGAGACAAAATCGAGCAAACTTTGCAGCGCCGGCCTATCAGATTATGGGCAGATGGGTTGCGCTAATTAAAGCAAAATCTGCACTTCAAGCTGCAAAGCCCTGGCCGGAACGAGTTGGCGCACATTGTTGCCAGGTGGAGCCCAGGCGACGTGGCAAATTCGAAGGTGCCTGCAACGCCGAAGCGTTCCAGAGGCAGGCCATGCGCAACTTGGGACCGTTTTGAATTAACATTTGTTCCTACCGAGTCCAGTATTGGACCGGGCTTAGTGTTCGATCCGGAATTGCGTTGTGCGTGGGGCCTTCGACGGGCCCCTGGGACCGTCCAGAAACAGATCAGGATGGCATTGACACGATCAGGACATCGGGTGTCAGAGTCCTGCCCGTCCGCATCAACGCGGGGATCCACACACAAGTAACCTAAGAGGTTTTGCTTTGGGTTCCGAAACGGATGACCTCAACGCGGCCATCCTCCTCATTCGGGAAGAGATACGATAGAACAGTTTGGTCGCCAATGGATTCCTTACAAAGTGCGCAATCGACGAAGTGGACTACGACGAAATATTAATGACGTTCGACATGATACCTTGTACCTCGACCGAAAGATGTTCGACCATACCGATTGGGTTGTCATCATGCTCGCTTCTGCAACTAAGTGGCACTACTTCGAAAGAGCCCGAGGGAATCCCAGCAGCCATTTAGGGCGCAGGTGATTTTGGGTGTTTCGTTTTCCACCCCCTTTTCCCTTTCGGGGGGGTATCACCGTTCCTACTAGTATACACCCCCTCCCCCAGGCAATTGGGAGCCCATCCGAGTCAATGAGGGCACCCCCCCATCCTTTGTACAAAAACAATACACAACACTTTCTGCCTCCAAATTGGGAGCATGCGCAGCGAACCCGACGCGGCCTCCCCTCACCATCTCTGCCAAAAAACAATACACAGTACACTTGGCGGCGGCGACGGCGGCTGCGGCGGCTGCGGCGGGCGCAGCGGCTGCGGCGGCTGCGGCGGTGGCGCCCGCGATGGCGGCGGCGGCGGCGGCGGGGGCGGCGACGGCTGCGGCGGCGGCGGCGGCGGCGGTGGCGGCGGCGGCGGCGGCGGCACGGCGGCGGCAGCGGCTGCGGCGGCGGCGATTCGGCGGCGGCGCGGCGGCGGCGGCGGCGGCGGGCGGCGGGGCGGCGGCGGACAGCGGCGGCGGCGGCGGCGGCGGCGCGGCGGCGGGCGGCGCGGCGGCGGCGGCGGCGGCGGCGGCGGCGGCGGCGGCGGCGGCGGATTGGCCCCCAGTAGCTGCCCATCCAAAGACAACTGCTGAATATGCTGCGGCTCGGGCCAGGCCCGGGTGCAACGTATGGGTTGGGAGGGCGGGTGGGAGTGAGCGAGACGGCTTGCGGGCGGGGAGGGCGTCCTGACCCCTCCCCCGACCCCCTCCCCTGGACCTGAGAGACTTGACACTTCATTTTAAAGTCCTAGATTTTCCTACTGAGCATTGGATTACACTGCGCTCGCTGGTGAAAGTCTCAAGGCTGTAGCTGCAATATTTCTATTGGTTCACTTCCGGGGACCGACCTCAAGAATAACAGAGTTTGAAAATGCAGGCTTTCTGGAGACTATGAGAGATGTGAGAACTTGCTCCCAGAATGAAGACTCCCCGCACCTGGAGTAGGGCATTCAGCGTTTGCTGGTAAACTGTTTAGGCCTATAACTGCTGCACTACTATCAAAACACTTGGCGGAACTGAATTTGCGTCGAAACCAAAAAAATATCCCGGCAAAGCAATCTAACAGCGATGTGTAGAAGCATATCTGAAAGCATTCCCCTTAAGATTCATATGAAAATCCAGTTGTAGAATTCTGCTGTTCTCGCAGTCGTAGTCGCATTCGCGATGACAGTCGCAGCGGCAACGGCAGTCGCAGTCACAGCCTCAGCCTCAGCCTGCCTCAGCCTCAGCCTCAGCCTGCCTCAGCCTCAGCCTGCCTCAGCCTCAGCCTCAGCCTGCTTCAGCCTCAGCCTCAGTCTGCCTTCAGCCTCGGCCTCAGCCTCAGCCTGCCTCAGCCTCAGCCTGCATCAGCCTCAGCCTCAGCCTCAGCCTGCCTCAGCATCAGCCTGCTTCAGCCTCAGCCTCAGCCTGCCTCAGCCTCAGCCTCAGTCTGCTTCAGCCTCAGCCTCAGTCTGCCTTCAGCCTCGGCCTCAGCCTCAGCCTGCCTCAGCCTCAGCCTGCCTCGGCCGCAGCATCAGCCTGCCTCAGCATTCAAAATGTGGCCCAGGAGTGGAGTTCTGGGAACTAGAAGAACACGAAGTGGCCTACAGTTGGCTCCGGGCATTCAAAATCATGCCCAGGAATGGAGTTCTGGGAACTTGAGCTGGCTCCGGGCATCCAAAATGTGGCCCGGGAATGGAGTTCTGGGAAGTCGAAGAGCACGAAGTGGCCTACAGTTGGCTCCGGGCATCCAAAATGTGGCCCGGGAATGGAGTTCTGGGAAGTCGAAGAGCACGAAGTGGCCTACAGTTGGCTCCGGGCATTCAAAATGTGGCCCGGGAATGGAGTTCTGGGACTCGAAGACCACGAAGTGGCCTACAGTTGGCTCCGGGCATTCAAAATGTGGCCCGGGAGTGGAGTTCTGGGAAGTCGAAGAGCACGAAGTGGCCTACAGTTGGCTCCGGGCATTCAGAATGTGGCCCGGGAATGGAGTTCTGGGA